TTAAAATTTTATTTTTTGTATTTACCATTTTATCCTCAAATGAATAAAAAACTTAAATCCCATTGATCCAAAAACTTAAACTCGAAAGGAACGCTTGTAATAAGGTATGATTTTGCTAAATTAAAGATTAGTACTTTCTTTTATACGTTTCTTGATTTTTTTGTTAATAATGTACATTAATTTATGTTCATTTGTTTCCTTTCTCCATCATAAAATACCAACTTTCCTCATTTTAATATATAATGTTTCAAAAAAAATTCGGGAGCAGAACCCCCGTGAGCCCCAGCCCCTTCAACTTCGGGACCCTCCTAGTTTGAAGGGCTGGCTTCGCCCCTACATGCGTGTATCTCTCTTTGTTTTGTGTGTTTAAGAGAACAATCATGTTACATGTACATTCTTATTTATGTTGAGAGAGATGTTGAGATATCTCATGATGAGATAAGAATATAGAAAAGGGTGAGATCCAGGAATTATGACAAACCAAGTATGGGATGGTAGTTGTCATTTAATGACCAGTTGAATTCTATCTTCTATTCAATTCTTCAACGCCTTTGAAATCTAACACTTCAGTGCAAGTCTGTCCACATCTTGATCTCTCTTTATATCTCGTTCTACCATGAGAGAGAGATAGATAGAGGGAGACACACACACACACACGCAAAATCCTTAAAAATATTACGTAGCTTTATAGAAAGAAAGTTTCATGGAGTACCATGAAATGCAAGAAACCGCTACATTCTTGCCTGTTATCCCAAGATTAGATCGTCTTGATCGCATGGTAATCCCTTTTTTCATCCCAGAATTATATCGTCTTGGATGGTTAACACATATTTGATAGGATGGATTAAACAGTACTAGATGATCGTAAAATTTAAGCATGTTTCTTTCGTGATGGTTGATGAAATTTTTATTTTTCAGCTGCAACTTTTAGAAGAGAGGCATAGCTTATCAAGAAGAGAATTTTCTTCTACTGCTTTTGTGGAAAAAGATGAGTGCAAAGATCTATCTTCGGCTATTGAGGAAGTCCACCATAAAGGCACACTTATGGAACGGCTTTCTGTGCTTGAAAATCGAGTATTACAGGTTTCGACTGCCCTATTTACGTAGCCGACTCAAATTTATTATTAGGATTTCGATGCTCATATCATATATATGCTTGTTTTCCGTGCAGCTGAGCCTGGAAATGGATGAAGGGGACACGTCGAAGTCAAGTTCTTCAACAGTTCAAGTCTCACAAGGGGTTAAGAAATTAGATTCTGAATTGTGCATCGAAACCCCAACCCGAGAAAGGGAAGGCCCTCCCGCAGTTCAAGTAAGTTAGATATTACGATACATATAAACAACATTTTAGCTTCGTTTTCGTACAATCCATTTTACTGAATGAGCCATCGGGTATTTCTATAATGGATTGATATTTGAACAATTGAACTTCAAGTTTGTGCTAAAAATTTCTGGCTTCCATGAAACAGACTGTCCAACAGAAGAGTGGAAGACGCAGAAAAAGGTGGCTCGGGTTATTCCGATTTCCAGTGACATGTTAATTTTCCCATGTTGCTCAATCCTGCTATGGAAATAAAGAGTTGAAAATTAGAAAATAAACACCTATATGTAAATAGTGGAAATTTTGGTATTTCGGCACAGTTTGTAGTTTCGTGTGAAATGAGGAAAAGTTGCTTACGATACGTGAGAACCGCCTTACATGTTTAAGCTGATCTTCTTTATTGATGATGAATATCTTGTATGATGAGCGTCTCTGTTCAAAATGTGTGATCCATGACGAGATAAGCCAACATTTCTTAGTAGATTATAATTAATTTTTCAATATATTTTGATAAAAGTTGATGAAATATTTATTTAAAATTAATTGTTAACATTAACTTGAAATTTATAGTAAATTTTAATCTGCACCAAACATGAGCATAATAACATTATTAAGTGGGTGTTTGGTGGGGATTAAAATTAAATTTTTAGTAATGTGTGGTTGAAAAGTTGTGCGACCCATGGAATATATGGTTAATATTGATTGTTTGACTTTGACTTTGACTTAGATTAAAATTTGATTTTAATTCGAAACAAACATGCCTCGAGTATTGAGGACATATAGATTTCAAGGGCAATGTAAACCATTCATAAAAAAACAAAATCCTCTTTCTTATGCCAATGAGTATAGGGCCAATATACTTTCTTAGGGCAAGACTACCCTTCTAGGCCCAAGGAGGACAAACAACAAGTCGGCTCAATTAAACTTTCAAAGAGTGATGGGCCTTAAATGAGCTGTGTAGTGGAATTTTGTGCATCTGAATTCGAGATCACATCTGGTGTTCCAGTTTGGTTTTCCACTTAACTGGGATGGCAATGGACCTGAACCGCTCATGACAATTTAGTGTATGGACGACGACGACTCATTTTTCCACGGGAAAATTAGGCCCACTACCTTTCAAATTACCTAATTTGAATAATAACCTATAAACTAATTAAATAACTTAAATCACTTGATTAATACTTTCTAAACTATCGAAACCACAAAACCCAATTCAAATCCCCGATACCCAGAAATCTGGTAGCATCCATGGCAGCTTTCTTTTCATGCTTATTGAGAAAATTAAAATTATTCTTCGATTCCAATTACCCTCCGGAACCCATTCCAAACAAGCCCTTGAGGGCAACTCAAGAAGAAGATAATTTTATCCTTCCCGAAATACTAGGTTCCCAAATTTTAGTCGTATTCGGGTAAATAACAATCGAGTTCGATGAGGAATGAAGATGATGATTTTTCGGTAAGATTCAAGCTTGGGTTTGTCGAGAAGATAGGAAAATGAAACACGTTTCGGGAAGGATAATGTGAATAGTATCAGCGAGAAAACTGAAATTGTTGAGCCAAATGCGGTGGTGATGCTTGATGATTTATGTAAACATGGGTTGGTGTAAGAGGCAGTGAAACTTTTGGGTTAACTTGTGAAAAGGATACTATTCAAAAAAGGCACATGAGTTTGAAGCTGTGATAAGAATTTTAAGGAAAAAAATGCAAAATAATGGGGTCATTTCAGATGCATTTAGTTATGAGAAGTGCTACATGTACATAAATTTATACATAATGGTGTTCATAATTACACGTGACATTGAATCCAACCATTAATTCAAATCTCACACTTTCACATCAACAACATGATTTTGTCAACATCACATTATGGACACTATTATCTACATATAGACTTTTCCTTTAGTTATTCCAATTGCATTCCAAATGTTTCACTTTTTGAATAGTGTGTTACATTTTTCTTTTTCTATCATTTTTTTAATGATAAACATTATTTTTTTAATAAAAGTAACATTGTATATGACTTTTGAACTTTTTATATGATAAATGGGTAGAGTGAACTGGTAGATGCCGTTTTGTCGGTGAATTGACTTTAAAATGTTTAGTGGTGAACAAAGAAAGAGGAAGGACAATGATTGTGTCACTTTTTTTTTATTATTATTATTACTGTTACTTTATTGAACTAATTCTAGTGTTTTAATTTGTGTTTTGTCATTTTTTCTAATTTCCGTCACACCTTTTAGTATTTGTCACTTTTTTGAACTTCTGTCGCTTTTTTAGTATGTCACTTCTTTAAACTTCTATAATTTTTTTTTTTTAGTATTTGTCACTTTTTTCAATTAATTACTTGAAATTTCTATCACTTGTTTTAGCGATAAATATCATATTTTAATAAAAGTGACATTGTGTATCATTTCTTAATAAAGTGACATTGTGTCACTTTTTATACAAAAACGTGACATTTAATTTTCCACATTATTTTTCATTTTCAAAATATTTTTCATATGATTTTTCGAAAAATCCCTAATTTTTTATGTATTTTTGTAAGTTGTCCTTTTCCCACGACCTCAACCCTAATTTGCCCTAGTTTACATTCTTGAAACTACTAATGTAACAGGTTGCAAAAATGTAACTTTAAATTTTTATATTTAAAATGGAAAAAGTTCAACTGCTTGTAGACTGACCAAGCTCAACTCAACCTTTCACGGGTAGAGCGGGATCCCTTGATCAATGTACCGATTCAAGTTCGAACAATTGTCATCCCTACCTCTTACATGTCCTCTAATGAAATCTTCACACCTACTACAACTCCAAGGTGTCAAAACTTCACTAAACCCCCTATCATCTTTCACATGCACAAAATTTCTAGGATTATGCCGCTTTGTAGAAGGGTTTGACATGTGCAGCGACGAAGCGTAGGTGACGGTAGATGATTAGATGAAAAAAATTAACTGTGTTTTAAAAAATTCAACAATAGAATATCACGTGTTATTGGATCAATCTTTCTATCAACTCATCTGACATTATAGCATGATTGAATTTTCTATTACATAAATAGTCAGAAACAAAAAATATTTTTTTCTAGTAAACCCATCCTGTCCAACTACGCTTTCACAAATCACAATCAACTTTCTTTATTAGTATATATTTTTAATGATTAATGAGGAATAAACCCTATAACGTTGGATACAAGATACCGTTGAATTTAGTAACCATTGACTGGTAGATACAATAAGTGTGTCAAAAAATGTGCACCAAACCCTCCTTTATTGCTCCTCCAATTTTAATATGCAATAAATATTTGTACAACTACAATG